GAGGGGAAGGGCCTAAGGGAGGCGATGGCGGGGTGGGGGAAGGGGACGGGGAGCGCGGCCGCCTCTCGCTTCCCTCTTCCCGCCGCGTTCCAGCGGGATGGGAAAGGCGGGGGACGCGGGCCCGGCGGCGCCCCCGAGGCGGGAGTGGAAGAAACGGGCCGGGGGTCCCCCCGCAGGGAARGAGGGGCGGGGAGAAGGGAGGCAGGGCTGACCGCCGCGATCGGAACAGGCCGCGTCCCCGCGCAACCCACTACGGGCCTCCGGCCTCCCTTCSAGCTTCCCCCCTCCCTCCCGGGGGTACCGGAGCCGCGGGAGCGGCGCGGGAAGCGGGGGAATGGGGCCACTCACTTGTCCTTCTCGGTGCCGAAGATGGAGGCCAGGTACTCCGCCATCTCCCACCGCCCGCCCGCCCGCCGGACCGCCCCGGCCCCGGCGCCGCCGCCGCGTCACAGCGACCGCGCCGGAAACGCTGCGCTGAGGGAAGGGAGGGGGGAGAGGGGGCGGGGCGCGCACCCCACGCGGGGTCGCCGCAGCGCGCGCGCAGGGGCGGCGGGGCGGGGCCGGAGGTGCCGCGCTGCGGGACGGGAGCGGAACCTCAAGAGCGCGGGTTCGAGTCCCGCCCCCGCCACCGGCCCAGGGGATGGGGCTGCTCGGCGGGTTGTGGCTTCCGAGCGCTGGAGTGAAGRGATTCGCTCAAAGGCGGGGAGGTGTATGCTCTGGAGGGGTTTAAATTTAAAAAAAAAGGTAAAACATGCATTCGAATTAAAAGCAGAGTGGAAAGTAGAACCGGATTCTTTCTGATCATTGTTTTGCGAAGTTTCACGGAATTATAGGCCAAAAAAGCCGCAAGTCTGAACCCAGTGAATTGAAATTTTTGCAATGGAGCAGCAATGAATACAGAAGCTTCCAATATWGTACATCACTTGAAAAGTATGTCAGGAAATAAACTTACTCGTTTTGCTGATTCAGAAAACAAGGTGGAGGAGACAAATAAAATTCATCTCAGATATTTTGCGATTCCCTGAAGCAATAGCACAATTTATAGAGCTCACAGTCCCACTTGGAGTCCATACCACCATTCAGAGAATCATGGAATGGTTTGGGTTGGAAGGGACCTTAAAGACAATCTCATTCCAAGCCCCTGCCCTGGGCAGGGACGCCTTCCACTGGACCGAATTCCACTCCAAATCCCATCCAACCTGACCCCGTCTAAAATTCCTGATTTGGTTTAAGCTGTGATCTGTCTCAGTTTTGGCACTGCTCCATATCCTGCCACATACTTTCTGTGCTCTTTAGGCATGTAAAGCTTACCTGCTTCCTGCTCCTTCCAACCAACTTGCACTGATTTTTGCATCACTGTTTTTGTTAAAGCCTTCAGCTGAACTAGCTGAAAATAAATACTTCCTGGGGAATCAAAATACATTTTCAATACTTGAAACATGCTGGGTTCTCAGTGTTTATCTTGTGAACACCTGATTCCYTTTAGATTTCCCTTCTTATGGTACATTGCTGAGAGTAAGAAACATTTTCAGAGCATTTCTTGAACAGTTGCTGCACGGTACCTCTGGTGTGCCAGGGGAAGGGATCTCAGCCTGGCATGGTAACAGCARCCAGGCTTTTCCCGTGTTCCTTTTCTTAATATGTATCTATAAATCTGAATTTAGTGACTTACTACAGGTTACTTTCCTCCCCARTTTGCTTCCATTTATCAGGTTAAATGCTACCAAAACCTGTCCCCTGTTTTTCTCCGCCTCCTTAAGGCCCAGTGTCATCACTGGGTATTGGCTCAGAACAAAATGGTGACACCCAGATCTGGTTTGGAGATAAAAGGGCAGAGAGGAAAAAATTAGGAGGGATCAGCCAGTTTTAAGAGAGGCAGAGCTAAGAGGAAAAGCAGAAAAAAAAGTGTTTGTGAAGCAAAAAAGCAGTGCTTGGATACAGAAAAAAAGTTTAAAACAAACACAGAAACACATCCAGGGGGTCAGTACATGAAGTACTTAATGCATTCACTGGAAAATGGCACTTTCTTGTTGCCAGTGTGCAGAACCTCAGTGCTAAAGAGGTACCTGGAGTTCCGGGCCTGTGCACAGGACTTGGTTTCTCAGGTTACAGGGATTTTGCTAATAGTGCATACTCAGGGATAATTACTGACCCACAGCCAGCAAGCCCTTTGAACAGTTTTGCCAGCTCTCTGYTTGACACCTCTTGGAACAAGGCAAACTGTGAGGAAAGAGAACCAATTTAAGATGCAATGTCAAAAAATTAATGGGGGAAGGCAGCCCTTGTACATTAGAACAGAGCTRTAGCTGGTAATCTCATCTAATCTACTTGCATGCCTATACTTCACTAATCACCATGGTTATATAAGCAGATCTTTGATAAGATCCTTAATTATAGCAACCCCAGGAAAGGCTGAGAAGCATGGCAGAGAGAAGGGTGAGGTCCTTGGAGCCTCCTGTGGGTCTGGGGAAGGACTGACCGTGGCTTTGGTGCATCTCTGGAGGCAGTGTGCCCTGGCATGAAGGACTCTGCCACCAAGCTCATGGGGACAGACCCTCTCTGAAGCACCCAGGTCACCCTCAGCTGAGCCCTGACCATCATCAGAGCTGTGGGGGCACTGCTCTGATGGCAGAAGGTGAATTGAACCCRTCTGGTTCCAGGGGCAGTCAGTGGRGTTGGCGAGTGGCAGGGAAGAGGGGAGGAAATGCTGAGTCAGAGCYTTGGAGAAGCAGCAGTGCAGGCACTGCAGAGCGTGGCTGAGGGATTTGTGTGTCTCATGGAAGCTTTTCCTTGCAGAGCTTTTGAGATCCAACCCCCGATTAGGAGTACTGCTGATTTATTAACTGTTGCTACTAGAGAGAGCTTTACAACTGCAAACCAGGAAAATTAATAAAGTTTCAGGGCTTTTAAATTCAGCACAATATTTGATGAGATTAGAACTTTCATCCAGGAAGCTGCTGTGCAGTCTGGGGTCAAGACCATCATGGCAGCTGCTTTTTGTTTACAAAGGAGACACAGAGAAAGGCAATTTTCCTGGCATGAAGGTGGACAAGAGATGAGCAGAATCAGGATGAAAATTTAGGAATAGACTTGGTCCAGATGGAGGGTTCACCAGGTTGCACACGCAGTCTCCTTGCTCACACATAAGTCAGCAGGACCTCTCAGCTGGCAGTGAGGGTGAAGTGCCCTGGCAGGAGACAGAAAGGGGAATATTCTGCACYCAGTGGTGAGCACTGCTGTGTTTGTGGCCTCCTCTCCTTCATGCCACAGTGCACRAGTAACATCAGGTGCCCACAGCTGCAGCTTCACTTCTGGCTGCTCCAGAACCACTTCTTGAGGTCTGGTTTTTTTTGCACCCCAYTGTTTATACTCACCTTATCTGGGTGGAAATAATTTGTTTTCTCTCTGTTCTGCCTTTCCACAGTACTCCAGCCCCCCTTGCTAGGCAGGAATTCCAAGTTTTGTTCAGGATCTGTGCTGYCCTGGCCCAGAAGAGATGTCAGTAGAGACTGTAGTGATACCAGGAGAGCTCTAAAGCTAGGATGGTGTTGCTTCAAGCTGAACCCCATCCCTTGCCCTCTCTGTGCTGATCCCTGTGCTTTCCCCAAATGTGGCCAATTGGGCAGTGTCACTATGCTGTGGCCATGGTGGGATGACATCTCTGTTCACCAGGAAAAGAAGAAAAATCTCTTTTCTTCTACTTTCAGTGCCTGCCCTGTGCATTCAGTCCTGGCTCTCCAGTCTCAGACCTCCATTCACAGCCTCCTGAAATGCTGCCCCAGGGCTGTCCCTGATCCACCTCCACACTCTGAGGACCAAAAGSATTCACTGGAAGATAATCAAAGTCCATCTGATAAGCAAACCCAGCCTGGAATTTCTAGTGGGAAATTTCTCTCTGCGCTGTCCTGGGTAGTTTGGATGGAGCACTTTGTGGGAGCAGCTGATGTCTTTTGACCTTTCTGAGTACTCTTGGAAAAATTCTCCAGGTATTGCTTGCTTGCTGCCCTCGGGTACTTCATGGCAGTCAGAGGACACCGAGGTAGTGAAAGGAGAGAGTTTGGTGGAAATCTCATTATATTTCTCTTCTGATGACTCTTCTGGTGCCCAGTGAGCCCATGCAAGCTCTTTGCATAGGAAAACAGCT